TTGGTTGAGAACAGGGTGCTGAGGAGAATATTTGGGCCGAAGAGAGGTGAAGTTATGGAAGACTGGAGAAAACTGCATAATGAGGAGCTTCATAACTTGTACTCTTACCAAATGTAACTTGAATGATATATGTAAGATTATAGTCAATGAGAATGAAAGAGGTAGGGCATGTAGTACGAATAGGAGCTAAGAGGAATGCATATAGCATATTGGTGGGAAAGCCAGAAAAAAGATACCTCTAGGAAGTCCAAGACGTAAATGGAGGAATACTAAGATGAATTTAGAGAGATAGAGTGGGATGGTATGAACTGGATTGATCTGGCTCCGGATCGGGACCAGTTGAGGGCTCTTGTGAACACGGTAATGGACATTTGAGTTCCATGAAATGGTGGGAAATTATTGAGTAGCTGCACAACTGGCGGCTTCTCAAGAAGGGCTCAGCTCCATGAAGTCAGTTTGGCTTATATAAAGATGCTGTCCTTAACCAAAGGTCCCAAGTTCGGATGATGAAGAGAAAGGAAAGCCCAGTGGTGTAATATTTAAGTTCTTATCGCTGAATTTGCTTAAATGAACTGAGGAAAGTGCGCTGAACTTCGATCAGCATACTCGGTATTGCGGACCAAATTCGAACACGGCACCTCCCGAACAAAAGGACATAAGCTTTACCAGTCGAGCCAGCTTGATCGGTTGGGAAAAAATTTTCAGAGTCAGGTTCACAGAGTCAGAGTTACTTTACTACTTACGGTTTACCGCCAATCAATTCAACTTGGCGAAAAGCCCCTCGAGACTCACGACCACAGTTCTTTGTTGCAAATGAAGCCTTCCGGTAAATTTACACTTCCTATGGAAACATTGAGACAATTCTTGACAACCATTGAGAAAAATGTGCGATTACTTGCCTCATAATTACTAACAACACCACAAAACTTTCATGAAAATTAATGCGCGGAATTTTACAAACAGAACATCCGTGCGTGAAAGGCACTGTACTTTGCATGTAGGTTTTGAGGCTGGCTGTACCATCTGTACGTTTGGTTTCGGACAGGACAGCAGCCTCCGATAGGGATGGAAACTGCCCCTATGCCCCGTTGCATTATGTGTACGGTGTGTACGGTGTGGTTGCTGCATCCAAACCTGAAAACATGAGGAAGTATTTCCAGCCTATGACACGCCACGCCTCTAAGCCAATAGAAACTGTGGAATACGATTCAAATCTCGTTTATTGGTTAGTGGATCTTCCACGGTCCCAGAGGGAGGATCAATGGAGGGGCAGACACGATATCAGTCTCTCTGTCTAGCGCTGTCTGTCTCTCTCCAGCCCTGCATGCGAGGCTCCGTGGGGACCGTGGGGACCTTTCATATGGAAATTGTTTGTCGTCTCACAAATAGGGTCACTGATGAACAATGCGATCGTAGTGAAACGGTATTAACCCTAACCCTTTTAGAATTGAAATTCATCTAAATAATAAATAACTTATTTAAATTTTTGTTATTTACCCCACAGGAAAGGGGCACGCGGTAGAGTAGTTGGTTGCGGCACTATGCTACAAGCCTGAAGATCGCGGGTTTGAGTCCCGATGATGTTACTGGAGATTCAGTTAACCTAATCCTTCCATCGGCGCTGTGGCCCTGGGGTCGACTCAGCCTCTAACAGAAATGAGTACCGGGGATCTTCCTAGGGGTAAAGGGCGGCCGGCTTCGTAAGGCTGAGAACCTTACTGCCATCTGTGAGCCGATTGTCTAGAAAATGTGGGAGCCTCAACGTCTCACAACCATATGGGCCTCCACGGCCTGTTAGATGTATAGCTTTACATTTTCTTTTACCTCACAGAAACCACACCGCGTCTCCATTACGAAGACCAATATTTTAAAGGCTGTTCAAGGATTCACATGAAATGCTATGTAGGCTAAACGCACAGAAATTGAATGTTGAAGCGAGGGGGACTGATACTGTGCCTAGTTAGGTCTGATACTGTGCCTAGTTAGGTCTGATATTGTGTCTAGTTAGGTCTGATACTGTGCCTAGTTAGGTCTGATACAGTGCCTAGTTAGGTCTGATACTGTGCCTAGGTAGGTCTGATATTGTGCCTAGTTAGGTCTGATACTGTGCCTAGTTAGGTCTGATACTGTGCCTAGTTGGGCCTGATATTGTGCCTAGGTAGGCCTGACTGATACTGTGCCTAGTTAGGTCTGATACTGTGCCTAGTTAGGCCCTGATACTGTGCCTAGTTAGGTCTGATACTATGCCTAGTTAGGCCTGATACTGTGCCTAGTTAGGTCTGATACTGTGCCTAGTTAGGTCTGATACTGTGCCTAGGTAGGTCTGATACTGTGCCTAGTTAGGCCCTGATACTGTGCCTAGTTAGGTCTGATACTGTGCCTAGGTAGGTGTGGTACTGTGCCTAGGTAGGTCTGATATTGTGCCTAGTTAGGTCGATACTGAGCTTCAACGATTAAATGGGGGTTAGAAACAGCTTTCAACATCTTGCCAAATTAACTTGTATCTCACTCTGCTTGATATGTTTGCTTTTCTTGGGCTTAGGCCTACTTGTCTTATTTCGTAATTAAAGAAATAAAAATAAAAGGAGGCTTATGGCATCAGCTTGTTGTCTGTTTTCTTAATTTGTGCAAGCTGAAGTAGTGGAGCCAGAGGAGGCGGTCGTTACAATACATGTGACATGATGCCTGAAAGTCGGAATAGTGCAGTCTGAGAAGCGCCGCGAAGATGGCCGTTACTAGGCAACGGCTCAATAAATAGATTTCTGCACTCTGCGAATGGCTACTGAGCACGATACTGAATTATCTAAGAGCAGTGTCAATAATACAGACTGCGTCTGAAATGCCGAGTATGGCGACAATAAGTGAATAATGAATTGGAGGGGATGTGGAAGGAGCGGCCGTGACAAGTCGCATTGTGTCGAATGATTGTGGGGGGAAGCGCCCTCCTCAGATCCAATTTTGGGCCCTTGATCTTCCGAACACGAAGCGAGAGCTCCACCCACTCACCGGCGTCGCGACGAAACTGTGTCGCCCTGCCCCTCAAGGACAGATATTTAATTCATTGACCTTGAATGTGGCGGCAGGCAGAGATAGAACGAAACGTCTACTATTCCCCCGAGAGGGTCTCTCCCTGAATTAGCTTTACAGCTGTCAGTTTCTGTCCCTAAGAATCGCGAAACGAGCACGCAGTGAGGAGCGGGCGTAAAGATCCACGCATTCCTTAAACCTCGGCGGTGAGGAGGGTGTAGCCATTGTCACGGCTCAATAGCTCTGCAGTTACGGAAACAATTACTGCCCTGCGCACAGGTTACGAGCATACGGAGAAGGATATAAATATTTCGTGTATAACGATAACCGCGTTATACGAACCGCTGTTTAACAAGGGAGTACTATAGAATTTATCTTTTTCTCTTCAAGACCTTGCACGTAGAATTGTACAGATGAAGTCACTAAGAATGAAGGCGAGAGGAGACAGACAGACGTAGAGCTGTACGTAGGAGCAGGAGGAAGATGAAGAACAGAGTGAGGAGACGAAAGAGAACAAGGAATGCAAAAAGTGACAGAATGTATGAGAGAAATAAAAGTGTAAGCGTAGAGACATAAAATAACTTTTGTCTGAAAGTGTTACACAAACATTGTCTACAGATTACTGTTAAAATGGTCTGGAAATGAAGGGGGGGGGCATTAGTGCCGTAAGTGCAAGGGGAATGCTGCTGCTGCTGTTTGACGAGAGCTTTAAGGCTTAATCTATTTGCTCGCTCGACTCCCAACAGTCTTTTCCTTTTACTTTCGTCTGAAAGCAAAGTCTTAGCGAGGAGCTGGATAAGGGAGAAGTCGCACTGCTCGCGTTTGTCTTTGGAATAATGAAACCAGGGAACACACACGCGGCCCGTTCCCCCCCCCCACNCTTCGCCCCATTTTATTTCTCTTGTTCACCCTCATAACCGAGAATTTGTCAGATTCCGTCAGATCAAATCGAGTGGGTCCGCGTCGACGGGGAGGGGGTGGGGGGGGTTGTTTTTACTCAGTAACTCTAGTAGGTAGGTAGGACATATTTTCTTTTCTACCCTTTTTATCCCCTTACTTCTTGCCCTTTAATAGCCGAAGCCTGAAATTAATCTGGATAATATTAAAAATAAGTTTAACTTCCTAAGACAGGACACGGAACCGTGAAGTGCAGCCAGACGCTGCTCCGTGCTCCAAGTGAGAGCTGTTCGTTCAGACATGCGCACTGACCACGTAAATATGCCTACCTTCTGTAGGCAAAACCCACTTTTCGTAAATGATGAAACCATTGTGGTATATATAATTTCCACTGTCCTTCGAAGTGTTAATCACTCAGTGATCTATGCCTTAAATATATGCTCAAAGGATTAATCGACTTATAAAACAATGTATGTAAAATAGGCCTATGTTAGTCAGTGAGGAGAGCCGGAAGGGCTCAGTCGGTATAGGGACAAAATATTATTTCATTAAAATAATTGTAATTTCTTGCATTAATATTTTGTTGTATACCCTTCCTTTTCAGTTTCGATTACTTCCTCCATAGAAAGAAAAATGCACGTAAGGGGTGGTGTCTAGTTGGCCCCCTCCCCCCTGAGGGGGGGCAGGTCCATAATCCCCTAAAGGAATAGAGTAACGCATCTCTTACTGTAGAACTCGTCTGTAAGGCGCAATCGTGCTAGAATGTGTAAATATTTAGGATTACAGCAATGCAAATACATGTGGTATCAGAAAAGTATTTGATTGCATTTTGATAGCTTTTGAAAAGGGGGAAGTACCTCTAACAGGATGAGAGGAGAGTTGAAAGTGATCTGAGGGGGGCGCTGTCACGCCTCCCAACCCTATTGTCACGTCACGAACGGTAAACGCTTCACAATGAAGGCGCTAGGAGGGGGAAGCTGGCGCAACTGGAGGGGAGCCAATAGGAGCCGGCTGATGCTACGCCGCACTGCATTACCGGCCGGATTGCTCACCGCGCGGACACAATGCAAGTACCAAGCAGCGGAAGAGCGTGGGAACTCGGTAATCACACAAAGAATCGCGTTTACTTCACGCGAACTTCTGAAGTTCTGCTGATAATGAGGAATATCAGTGAGGTCTCTCTAGGGAGTTCGAGTGACAATGAAGAGTTTCAGTAGAGTGAATTTTTGGAACATCCGTTTGAGAAATGCAGAATTCGAGTAAAGTGTATTTTCAAATGCTTTGCTGCAACAACAGAAAGCTCATGACTTCAACGGATTAGAGCTGACATATGTCAGCACTGGACTGTGCAAAATGTATTAATATTTTTATATAAAATTAGTAGGGAGGAAAGAATTCTACGACTCTTATCTACCAAGATCTGTGAAACACATCAAGCGGTGAATTTGTTCAGTGTACCTTCTGAATTTACAGATAGATGGATCGAAATTAATTAGGCACAAGTGACCTCGTAACATCTGGTGGATGACAATATTTTAGGGAACTCAAAACTCATTGAATTATCTAGTGACACGAAGGAATGAGTGCAGGACCTCACGCTCAGGCGCAACTTTAGAGAGATAACAGGATGTCTGCATTGGAACTGGCTTGAAGCAGAGACCCGCAAGATGCTTCTAGGCACGTGCTACACTCCGGATCACCCGGACACAATGAAACACCACCACCATCAGTTACCTGCCACGTCCTCCACTTCCAGGACCTCCGCGACGTCGTCTACGTCATCGAGTCCCGCGTCCTCGACGTCGCTCTTCACGATAGACAGCATCCTGGCGCCCAGACCGTCTCACCCATCGGCGGCGCAGCAAGCACACGTGTTGCAGTCGCACCAGAGGCTGCCCCCAGCAGTGCTGCATCACCCCCTGCATCTGGGCCACCTCGCCGCAGCGGCCGCGTCCGGCTTCGGCGCCACTTCTGCCGACTTCCTCGGTAAGCTTTTGTCCACTCTGACTCCGTGCAGCGGAGCTGGCAAGAAATTCTTTGTTTAGGCCTGTGTAGGGTTTACTTAACAAAGTTGTCTGGAGCGTCGGGTGTAGGGTGATTGGTGAATGATGATTCGGAAAGGATGTGGAAGGAAGATGTTGTGAGGTGCTGTCCCTGTATCTTCCTGGAGGGACTTAGGATCCAAGAAGGAAGCTTCATTAAGGATCTTCTGTCTTCTTGCCGAGATTGGAACCAAGGACTTCCCGAATACAATTCAGAATTATTACCACCTGAGCCAGCCGTGCCTGGCCCCGCCCGTGAGTCAGTGACAGTGTTCAGGAGGCAAGTGCTAATGTTTCAGTAGGACTTCTGTGCGTTCAGGAACGTACGAACTGCGTTCTCTTCATTTCTGCAAACCGCAACACTTACGTTACTGTAAGTAAATTGGACACACAATTTGTGTTCCAATTTCGGTGCCGACTGCTGATCGGAACACGTGTCAGTCCGATATACGTGTAGAGATTATGTTGAAGTCGCGCTCAGAAACGTGTTCACATCTGCACGCAAAGTATTGTCACGTGTTGGGTATGTCACGCGACAAATAACTTCACGTGGGTCTCGGATTTAGGAATCTTTATCGGACACTCACACTTACACTCCTTACAATTATCACCACTTGCAGTGTCACTTGACTTCTGGCCCAGTGCGACGTCTCAGCTCTCCTTGGCCGTGGTTGGATCTCAACTGCCTCTGGCGGCGGCTATCCCTATATAGGGATTATGCGGACTGGACACCGGACACCATTTCCCACGGTTCCGCTACCGCTGTTCAGCCATCCGTTGTTTCGGCAACGCTCCTTATAGGTTACACCGGTAACGCGTCACAGTATGAATTAAACTTGCCAGAATTGCATAAAAATATGCGCATGTTTACGGAAGGACAGACGGACTGGTCGCCGCATCCTTCAGAGCACCAAGGCGTGAGGTCGGCCTATATGTAGGCGTAGCCGCAGCAAATAAGACACACTCACTTCACTGGACCAGAATGTCGCATTTCATTAGGTCCCATATGGCTGTCATGCATGCAGGCAACTGACTCCTAATTCGATTATCATTTTTTTAGTTATCAGTAACGAGAGGTTTAATTTCAAAATTACATTACTGACCAACTCAAAAGTAATGAAAAAACAAGAGAGAAATTGATTTTGAATAGCAGTAATATTGAAGAAGTGAATCAGTTTAATCAGCTGTCTGGTACTACTAAGGGAATCCTAAAAAGGGAAATAAATAGAACACGAAAAGATGTACAAATAAGATTGCATAAAACTGTGTCTGTACCAGTGGCCTGTGCTGTAGCGAAAAATTGGGAGGGGGCACCAGATTTGGGGGTGGTAAGGGTGAGAGTTCTGAGTTTGGTTGTTGGTTTCAGAGAAAGCGTTAGAATGAAACACGAGAAGAGTACAAGACATATATATATATATATATATATATATATATATACTATTTAATGCAAATGAGCCTATGCTTAGATAGACTATGTATGGACAAGAAGTTCTGGAAAGGACCAATTGCCTACTTTAATTTGGTACGACATGGACTGCATGGAAAACGAAGAAATCATAGGAGACATAGAGACACAGCAAAGTGACTTCATAAGCCTCCAAACAGAAACTGAGGACTACACAGGCAAACAGACGGACGTGCTCAAATAAACGTCCTTTTATGTTTGCAAAATTAGAAAAACGGACTAAAAGTGGAATCAGGTAGAATGTCCACATGTAGTCCTATTGTTCAGCACAGACTAACAGGGAGAAAGCCTGTTGGTAGAACTTGGAGTAAATGGTTCGATCAGTCAGGAGACGCAACAGGAGAAGACAAAACAGAGTCGGTCGCAGCCAAGTCACACCCTGTCCTAGAGAAAGTAACCCCTCAGAGCCTAGTGGTTCCATATTGTCACTAGGAGGGGTGACTGCCCACGGGGGTTTGGATGTGTGACTACTTATACAAACGACTCGGAACCACAAGCAATTACAGAGCCGCCGCTAATCTTCACAAATCAACACAGCACCCGCTAAGCCTTTTCCAGCCTGCTATGTCTTTACCAGCCGTTCCCTGACAACGGCTTCTAACAGTGGAGATTCTTCAGCTTCACACGCTCAAGTAATCTCTTCACAAACTCCCGAACAGAACTGACTTGCTTGCCACAATTATCTTCCTTACAACTCCTCGGCACAGATCATGTAGAAACACCTCTTTTCCAAAAGTAACTCTATTGTTGCGTGCGTATTCGTTGCCGCGGGAACGCGTTTGCCGAGTCGTTACCCAGAAACGGGCATTGTTTCCAGAATCACCGCTTAGCAACCGGTCTGTACGCCACGATATGTAGCACCTGCTATACTATACTAAAACTCTGCATTCTGCTCATGGTGTATTTGTTTTTCGTATTTTTCTCATAATAAACAGCGATTTTGTTTTTACCAGAACAGCATTAACGGGTTGGGCTTTGTAGCGGAGACGTAGTGTGTTTTCTGCGAGGTACGAACTGAATTGCTATATACAGTTTAGAAGAAATTCAGCTTTTAAAGGTTTAGAGCAGGTACTGAAATACTAGGAGTACGAAGATTACTATTGTAACTCTGCAAACCTCAGTACGCAGCCCAAATAATCACGGGGCCTATTTACCCGAAATGTTAAGAACATTACAGACACGAAGCGACGACGTGTGCATGTCTCTAGGGTTCACGTTTGAAGCAAGTGGAACAGGGCCGCGCCTGGGCCTGCTCCGGCAACCAGGGACCCCACTGCGTAGTGAGAAGAAGGCATATTGCTGCCCGCTTTGTAAGAAGACAGTGGTCCGGAACTACCGACTTTAAACTTATTGTTATTATTTTTCTGCTTATCTTCACGGTACGTACTAGGGGCCTCGTGGTCCCCTTTTGATTTCACGTGACCCTCACATTTTTACCCTTTTAATTACAGAACACGGACCACCCCGCAACTGGATATTTTATTGGAACGTTTGACCATTTATTTGCTTGTATTCTGAAATATTTGTAATAGTCTGAATTCATTTTGAGCTTTCTCGACACAGACAGAATACCAGTGCGCCGTGCCCTTCACACAGCAAATGCGGGGTGTGTGTCTATTGCTGAACTACTGAACAGGGCTATTAGAAGCTTCAGATTTAAACTCATAGCGATGAGACCTTTATTATTTGTATTGACTAAATTAAATAGTGTTAAGTAAGTTCCTTAGAATATCTTAGCCTGAAAATATAATATTACGGAATGTACACCTAAGCATAAGCATAGAAAGTAAACTGCTGTGTAGCATCATAAATGCTGACGTAGGAAATATTTTATTACCAAAATCTGTGCAATGAAGTGAATGATTTTTCATATTTTTAGTGCATTTAAATTACACTGATGTTTAAAAATATTAGGTTTCAGCATCCTCTTGCACTGGTTACTGATTTCATTTGTGTGAGCAGTCTTGAAGCTAGAGATTCTTGTAGTTCTTGCAGACTCTTGGCGTGCTACGTTTTCAGTCTTTTATAAATGACATTACTCCAACCTACTACATTACGTAATTGCTTCAACGTACTGCTGATACAGCCTATTTCCCTTATTTTGAAAAAAAAAAAAAAAGAGGCTTATGAGACCGCTCTGCTGTCTACGTGTCTCTGTATCCTTCCTTTTTCTCGTTTTATATACTGTCCGTCTGGTATCAAAAGAAAGAGATGATCAGTTCTTCCTAGAACTTCTTGTTTTGTTCAATGTTCTGAAAGGAGCTGTTGTGTTGTGTTTGAGGTTTATGTGTTCTATACTCGTGCAGAGGTACTGTGAGGTTCCCTTGGAGTGTGGGTGCTCACATAAATGTTGAAAGTACGTAACACATGTGAAGAGAAATGTTGTAATTATCTGTCTGTGAGTCCCCACTCCTAATACAACCCTCGCTGCAAGGTATCCATGAGTTCGAAAAGATTGGCCCCTGTTTGCCTACAACCACTGCTTACCAAATCCATACAACACGATCTGTAAATAATCCTTACGTGAAAGGATAATTTTCAATAATTTTAATCCAATTTTATGCCAAATAAGAACATGTAAATTCGTGTAAGTTTATGTACTGACGAGCACGTGCTACGATTGTTCTGTGCAGTCATAAGGAATGATCAGCATCCGTTTGAAACGCAAAAGTATGGAACTGAAGTTATCTCTGGCAGTGCCTGGTGGACAGTGCACCGACTGCAAAGCGCGTGCCGTTCATGCAGCGATAAATCCTCGATGTACCTAGAACACCGGCTAGCGCGACCGCCGCAAGCAGTTGCATCTATTCTTTGTGTGAACCTGTGGAGCTTGCAGTCTCTTTGTGTGTTTTATTGTTACATATTTCGATTTTGCGATGTCTGCGTCAGAAATAAAGAAAAGATAATCAGAAAAAGAGGGTCGTGTATTTCACAAATAGAAGAGCGTGCTATTTTACAAATATGTTTCTGGACACTACCCATCGTCTCGCTTTTGTCTGAAACACATCCTGCTTTCATTTGAAACTCACAGCGCTTCGGAGACTGGATTCTGTCTCCGTCTTCAGGTGGAACGTACTCAGAGCTAGTCCCTATCTCCGGACACCAGCACCAACACAGCACAAACCATTTGCAAGAGCTAAGACAAAATATTAAAATGTTAGAAACTCCACAAGAAGAATACAATTTGTGTCTTCATCACGAAATTTTAAATAAAAGATAAATCTCATGTTATTGAACGGAGTCCAGGCGAGCAGAAACTAATAGTTCCACAACCGCCTAAAATAACAGGCATACTGAATCGTTTGTCTATATATATATATTATTTATTTAGTGGGCTTGACGTAAGCGCGTGTGTCGCGGGGTTTTGAATCCTGTCCCGGGTTTGGAGCTGGAAATCTGAGCAGAAGGCAATTCCTGCCACCGTGAGTCAAGCCGAGAGGCGTCCAGCCGGTCGGAACAGATCATGGGGCTGGTGGCGT